ACTCAGATGTTGGAAGGGCGGGTTTACTTTTTATGCATTTTTTCAAAAAAAAAAAGTGGAAAGTTGGCTAGTTCATCAGATTTCTAAAAGCTTTCTGTCCACGGAATTATTCTTGATCTGAATAAGGGCAGAAACGAGAGGGGAGTTAGGAGAAAACTGCTTAAAAAAGACAATCGAATAAGTACGACGTTTGATTACGGCTCTGATGAGATATTTCACTTAAACCTAACTCCGGTCGTGAAAATTGGTGCAGAAAGTGCAGTCATTTTCGTTGCTCGATATTTTACAAGAAATAAATCTCGGAGCCTTCGATCGTACAGTGGAGCTCATCCCTTCAGCACCTCTCCGCCTTGCTAAGTGTAGTTGCCCCATTTCACAACTTACAGCATCTCTCAGCTTGTTTTTACATGGCAGGTGATGTCCAACGTGATGTTCCGCAGGATGATCACTGCGTAATTGCTCTGTATTATTCTACGCTAAAGTCCATCATGTTAATGTAAAAACGCAGTGGTTCCATTACCGTAACATTGCCAGTATTTTCTCCCTGCGTCAGTTGCCCTCCTTCTGTCTGTCGCTGCGAACGCAACGGGATCCTGCACAGGACTGAAAGACAGTTCTAGTGATCGGGTTTATTCCATGTCCTGAAAAAATTATGAGCTGAGCGGTTCCTCCGAAAGAAAAACATTTGGCAGGATTTGGATGGTCCACGACTATCACTGTAGCAGCTATGAGTGGGTGATCGTGCCATCCAAAATGGTTGTATTTTAACCATTTTGAGTGCAAAGTCGAGGAGGTAAAAACGTGATTTATAAAAGTAAGCTGGGAAATGCACTTGGGCGAGGAAGAAATTCTGGGATTAACATTTAAAAGTTTCATCTTTTGGCCGAAGAATTTTAGGTCGATATAGCGAATGAGAAGTTGTGTTGCGTCGGCATATTTTAAAACTGAAGATCGGATTGGACTGTCGATTGGAGTACAGTCCATTGTTTTGTAATCGCATGCACTATAATTTCCTCACAGAGCATTTTCTTAGGCTCTGCTAACTCAGCTAAATTAGGTGATTCTTTGGCAGATAGGGAAAGGAGAATGAGTTTTGCTGCTTGTCTCTGTGGCCTTTGGATGATCTGGGATTTTTTTTAGAGAGTATTCTTTTTCATATCAGCAGTGTCTTTTGAAATTGAATAAGCATTTGGTTTGCAGGCCGGTGTATGACGAATCGCGACCAGCATGTACGATGGCGCCACGTCTAGCGCCTGCGGAAATTCAGAAGAGTGTTATGATAACTACAAATGTGACTCCCCTCATGCTGGAGGACCGTACTGTTTATCGGTACAGTGTACGCATTGTCGCGACTTTCGGCAGGGGCGAACGAAGCAAAAAGACGATTGATTTGTGCAGCGGGAAGCAGG